TCGTATTTGATGTAATTGAAAAAGAAGTTTTTCTTTATATAATGTTCTCCACCTAAAATGCACACACACTCTATATATACATGTAGTATTATTTTATTTTATATATATACACACACATAATGATAAGTACCAAGATTTAGGCAATGGGACGACCAACTAATATGGGCATTTGACTAGTCAAGACAAAATTGACCAATCACTAAATGACTTTTAGTGATGTACTGATGTATACGCATTATTGAGATCTATATAAGAAGAAAGAGGACCCTAGCTAACTTCAACTTTTTGTGGGGAACAAAAATGTGGAAACACATGTACATTGAGGACAAGCTTTTAGCTGATATAATTTAAATTACATGTGTTTGTATATGAAAGAACTCTTTAATGAGTGGTCTATCCCCCTAAAATTAAAGTATCTTTTGTGTACAATTGGATGCTTTTATATATTTGGGCTTATTTCAGTCTCAAATTATACTTAAACAGACCAAACCAAATCAAACAAAACATAAACAAACTAAACCAGATTTCAACAGTCGTAAAATACCCATAGACTTGAAGTCTACCAAACCAGATCAAATGAGATTAGATCACACAAGAAAATTTCTGTCTAATTAAAAGCATTCTTAGATTATTATGGAGTGTATTCTCAACCTAAATTTAATGTTGTTTGCAGATTCTTATGTCATTGAGTAAATCACATGTTTTTTGCAGGTTCCATAGAAGAAGGTAACACAAGCATGGCAATCTGAACAAATTGTAACTTTCACACTGTTAATTTCTTGAATTTCAAAAGTTAAAAATTCCTATTTTTCTTCCAATGTACATAATACGTGTGCTTATATGAAAGTACATGTGCTGTGTATATGTGTCATAAATATCAGATGATGTTGCTATCAATTTTACTTCTTCTCCCTAAATGAAATCCAACATTAAAAAAAAGTGTATTTGTGTGTAAATTGCATCTCAAATTATTGTTGAACATGGTGTACTTAGTGGGATCAACACGGCTCAGGTCCACTTGAATTACTTACAAATTTTACGCTCTCAATTTTTTTCATTATAGTTCATCCCACTATTTTCAAAAAAAAGGGCAAATAAGCTCTCGAACTAATCAATAAAGTTCAAATCACCCCTTATATAGGAGGTTCAGTCCGGCCGTCGCCATTTGGGGCGGTTTCCGATGGAATTTTTTGATAATTTTTTTGAGCATCTTCTTCATTAAGTCTAGTTTACATATACCAAATTTCATCTAAAAATAAAACCAGTAAGGCAGTCAAATGATTTTCTGAAATATTACGCTGTTATCTTCAAAAATTCATTTGACTGTCTTCCCGATTGAAATTTTAGCTGAAATTTGGTATGGGTAAACTAGACTTAATAAAGAAGATATTCAAAAAATTTCATCAAAAAAGTTCACCGAGAACCTAGCCAAATGGCGACGGTCGGACAGAACCTCCTATATAAGGAGTGATTTGCACTTTTTTAGTTAGTTGAAGGACTTATTTGACCCTTCTCCCCGCTATTTTTTTGAAGCTATTGTGGAAGTGTTTAATTTGGACCACTGATGGTGAAATTGGAGCACTACTTCACCATCTACACGGATGGATGACTAATCATTGCCTTATAACATTAATCATGAGATAGAACGAGTTGGAATACAAATGGGATGACAAGATTGATCGAGGATAATACCTTTAAGCTTTGATTAGGAATTGAAAGGGAAGTTCGTGGAGGGGAAAGCCGAAAGCCCCAAGGGGACTGGGGTAGGGCGTAAAAGAGAAGGAAACCCCTCCGATCTCATTGATTGCTTATAACTTATAAGTTGAGATAAAGAAAGCCTAATTACGGTGTCTACAGTCTACATGCCAAAAAAATACTTCTTATGTGATAAACTTATTTAAAAGAAAGATATGTAATTAAAATAAAGATATGTAATTAAACTTATTTTTATTCAATGACTTTATCAGTTTATCTGTTTATTTCGTACGTTGTATTTTTTATTTTGAAATTATTTAGTTATATTTTAATTTCCATGTTTTTTAATTGTAGTTTTTATTTTTTATTTCAAAATAATTACTTTTACATTTACTTCTTATTTTTACTTTACACCTTTTTTACATTTAAATTTTGTTAAACTTTAGATTTCATATTGATTTATATTTTCTTGAATGGAAAATGTTAAACACATGATTCCAAATCACTACACTTTTCCCGACTTTGACTTTAAACTCAAAGATGATCTTGCTTTGATGAGATAAAGAAATGAACGTTTGATGTTGAGTTGATCGTTAAGTTGCACTAATCATGTGAGAGCTTTCAGAATAGATTTGATCCCAAGGGTATGTTTGGGAGTAGTGTTTTGGAGGGGAGGAGAAGGCTGAGGAAGATTTATGACTCTCCTTTTTGTGTTTGAAAGTTTAAAAATTTTGAGAGGAAGGTTTTAGAGAACTTTTATAACCCTCCAAAATTTCGAAAGAAGGTTTTGGCTGAAGGAGATTTATGAGACACCGCCTCCTTCGTCCCCTTCAGAACCACCCGTCAACTACCTACAGCTCGGCAACAACGAGAACGTTTTGGTCCAGGACACCGCCTCTGAGACAGCTACCTTCCCACATCATCCACAGGTCAATTTTGAGTGTGCCCATGCTTCGACCTTCAACAGGTTGGGTGACAAGCAGCACCGGCCGGCATCATAGAAGCTTGGCGAACGAATGAACAACCACATGCCCCATTCTCCTCAGGAAATCCGAGGTTCCTTGTTCTGGACAGTGAACGGACAACACTTACACAAATGCAAGGGTAAACTGCACCAGGTCGACGCCAGACACAAGATCAACCAAGCCCACCCTACCCGAGTTCAGACGCACCACCAAGGTGCCACAGTGATGAGCAAGGACCCTACGGATCAGGTGATTGGCCGGCTGGAAAGACGACTGACCGAGATGGAAGCAAAACAACAACACGTCAGAGGGGCAACCACGAGGGCTACACCGGACCATGCCTACACTGCCCTGTTATGGAAGGTTACTGACCAGGAGCGATAAGTTGTTGATGGCCGAGATGAGTCGATCGTCTAGATCAGTACGAGGCCCCTTTCACTGCAAGGGTCTTCTCCGTCCCAACCCCAGATAAGTATCGAGGCCATACAATCAAGATATACGACGACCGAAGTGACCCACAGGAGCACTTCACCCGCTACCAGAACAACATGCTCATGCTCAACGCCTCGGATGAGTACTTTGCCAATGGTTCCTCTCTACCTTGGAAGGACCGAGGTACGAATAGTTTAATGCATTGGTAGAAGGCAACATTGATTCCTGGCAAGATTTGGCTTAGTGTTTCCTGATGCACTTCGCGGGAAGAAGGCGCACCAAGAAACATTCCTCCCACCTCCTCACCTTAAAACAGAAAAAGGACGAAACCCTTTGTGAGTTCCTAGAGCGGTGAGGGAATGAAACGGACCAGGTCGAGGGAGCAGAAGTTCGGACATTGTTTGTCCTCCTTCAACAGGTCCTCTGAAACAACTCTTTTGCAAGGAGCCTCGTCACTGACCCCCAGATCATATGTCAAAGCGCTCAAGCGAGGAAGAAGGAGGGCAGGCCACTCACCTTCTTACTGTTAAATATCATCACATATCAGTCTAAAAATATTCTTTCTTCTATACTCTATTACTCCAAACCTTTCATCTAGTCCATGTTAGCTCGGTATAGATATGTCGGAAAAACCATCCGAAAATTGCTCCTCCCATAACAAAGAAACTGTCGTTGGGGCATCAATGGAAGCCTAGGCACGTCCAGCCTCTTCTTAAGAATATAAAGAATACCTTTACAAAAAGGCCTTCATTTTAATTTATGTGTATACACTCTTTTTTTATTTTAGTTTGTAACTTCTAATTTTGATTTTATACGGTTGTCCGTTGTGATTCTCATTTTGAATTCCTATATTTTTGTTATTTGTATATTTCTTGCGCTTTGAAGAATAAATTTCCTTTTTCTTTGAAAGTGAAGAATAAATTTCCTTAAAACACTTCTTTGATTACTGGGAGAACTACCAAATAAGCCCTCGAACTTACATAAAAAGTGAAAATCACCTCTTATATAGGAGGTTCTGTCCGGCCGTTGCCATTTTGGGTGGTTCCCGGTGGAATTTTTTGATGAAATTTTTTGAGCTTTTTATTCATTAAATCTAGTTTACTCATACCAAATTTAAACTAAAAAAAATTCAATAGGGAAGGAAGTCAAATGATTTTCTGAAATATACTGCGTTGTTTACTGCGCAGTTATCTTCAAAAATTCATTTGACTGCCTTCTCGATTGAATTTTTAGCTGAAATTTGGTATATATATGTAAACTAGACTAAATGAATAAGAAACTCAAAAAAATTCATCAAAAAATCCCACCAGGAACCTCCCCAAATGGCGATGGCCGGACTGAACCTCCTATATAAGGGGTGATTTGCACTTTTTATGTAAGTTCGAGAGCTTATTTGGTAGTTTTCCCTTTATTAATCTTTAGATATTATTTTTAGTATGAGTTTTTACAAAATTGTTTTTTAACTTTGATGGACAAAGAAGTAAAAGACATAGCAAGTCAACAAAATTTATGTGAATCCCAAAAAGCTAGGAATAAGATACATGTGTGTCTCTAAACAAAATCTCTAAATCAGAACATCATTTTAGAGAAACTCAATAACTATGCCTTCAGAGAGTTTTGAAGAGTTTAGAGACACCTCCGGAATTCAACCCTCAAACATATTCTTGGGATATTCTTGACAATTCGATTTTATATAAAGTTAAATATTAACATAATCCATGTCTAACATTTGAATTGATTTTTATTACTCCTTTAAACACGCTATTTGTCAAGATATAATGACAAAGTGAATCATTTCAATTTTCAAACCCTCTCAAATCTTCATCCTAACAAAATCGGTGCATCCTCAAAGGTTGATGCTTGGAACTAAGTGAGAAATTAAGCGCATTTCATAAATCCAAGTAAAATTTTGAGTGTAATTTGCTCACAATCACAGTAATAAATTCTTTATCATGATTCATGAGTTACATCAGTACAAATCACATTGCCTTCAAATGCATTCATTACATAGGCTTTTGACCCAAAACCTGCTGCTGTATTTGTTTACTATGAACAAAAGATGCCAATCAACCAAAAGAATCAAAGCAAGATTTTTCCATTTAAGCAGCAAAAGAAATCCACGAAAAAATATCAAAGGAGATAAGATAGATATATGAAAGGACTTGCATATATATACAAATGTATATATATGATTTATACATTTTCAGAACAGAAAGGCAAGAATGAAAAGCAATAAGATGGCCAGAGCAATAAACCCAACCCAGCACAGCAGAGTCTTCTTCTTCTTCAACCTCTTGGCCCGATCCAATTCCTTCGACCCGTCTTTGACATACGAACCAGCATTGACCACATTGATCTCTATATTGTTCATCTGCTCCCCCTGAGTCTCCACCATCACCGCCATATCAAGGAACACCTGATGAAGCTCTGCAAGGCTTTTCTGGATCTCCTTCACCGCCTCATTCCGGACCTGGTTCTCCTTCACCATTTCAGCAGCCGCCTTCCCTTCAAAAACCAGTCTTTCCTGCTGGGTCCCACCGCCGGCCATCATCTTCTCCACCATCTCCTCGCTTGCCTCCTGCCCTGTAGCTTCATAGTAGCTCCTCTTCAGGCCTTCTTTGTGGTCTGCCACGATCTTCCCCCTCAGGCACTGGAAATCATTCATCAAATCCCTCAGCTTCTGCCTCAGCCCGTTCGTCACTGAGATTCGGGTCCGCTCGATTGGGGTTTTGTTATTCGACTGGCTTGATTTGTCGAGAGATTCAAGTTTTGTCTTGATGATCTTCGCCTTTCTGAGAACTGTGACCATGTCTGAGTTAATCCTGTCTCTGAGGCCGTGGAGAATTTTAGCACTGTGGGAAGACTTCGTCTGCTCGTTGAGATCTTGAAGATCTAGAAGGAGATTTGAGATATCATCCATGGCGGCCTTGATGGACCCCACCTCTTCGAAGAACTGTGACAGGTTCTTTTCATCCGCCGGGTCGAGTTGACCCATCTCGATATCCGGATTCTGCCCCGTTTCGAGATCCTTCATCGCCTGCTTCTTCAAATCCACGTAACTCATAAACGACTTCGTCATCAAATCGTTCATCTTTGCTCTGATTCTGCAAAACCCAGAAAAAAGAAGTCAAGATTCTTCCGTTATACGGAGTAACTTACAATAACAACATATAAATATCAATCATCGGTGATTTTGGATTAAACGACGATTCTTAATCAACACAACGAGTGCAGAAAGTATTAAAGAAAACGGAGATGAAAGAAAAAGAACCTGGAAGAATCGTTCGTTCAGGATGTGATGATGCCTGATAGGATATGAGATCGGAGAGGATAGATTGAAACTAGGTCAGTGAAGGATCTAATGCCGTAGATGGAGAAGAGTTAAAGAGAAAGACAGAAAGTAATTAGAGGTCGTCAATGGCGGTAGGCGATGGGGACTCACCTATGGTCCTACTTCTAGCAGTTTATTTTCAAATTTCAAATATACGGAAGTCCCGTTGGGAAGATAGCCGTTTTGTTGTTCGAAGTGATGATGCAGCACTTTTTATTCACCCATGGGTCATGGCGCCCGACCCAGATCCAGATTTTCCCTCTTGGCCGGGTTCAATCGGCCTGTGACACATTTTGTGCTCTATTTCTTACTTGGATAGTTAAGTTAAGATCATCTCTAATGATAGAATGCAGAGGTGGACCCACTAAGAGTCTCACGGGTCCTGGGACCCATCGACCTCCAATAAAATACTTATATACATTATATAATGTATATAAAATTTTACACTACATGTATATATACACAAAACACTACTGTAATGCTCAAAAGATGGTGTGTAGGATTGGTTTCTCTAGCACATTATAAGTGTTTTTTTTCATGAGGTTCAGGGATCGATTCCCTTGTTCCTCTCACGGCCATTTTTTATTCCTTATTGTAAAAAGACAAGTATATAAAAAAAATAGAACATTTATTAAAATGTTCTATTTTGATGAACATTTGAATGTTCACATTTAATTATTAATTTTTTTGTATTCATGAATGTTATATCAATATTTTACGATTTGGGATGAAAAGATATTTTGATGGTGTGCCCAAATTTTAAAAAACTCCAGAGCAGCAGAGTTGTTCGGACGTTAATTCAAATGATTCACCATGAAGAAATGGATCAAATAATTGTTGAATGTGAAATTAACTTGATTGATAATCATTGTTCTAAAATTTGTTAGGCGCTAGTCAGACGGTTGAGGAGCACTTTAGACAGCCGACTAGGCCGATTTTTTGCCAGACTAGGCCGATTAGCCATTAACAATTAATGCCGACTAGGTTGATTAATTGGTTTGACTAGGTCGATTTTTAGAACGGTGTTGATAATCTACATGACCAAAATGTTGATTTTGAATATTTGGAAGTTGATCTTGTATTGAGAAAAAAATCAAATGTTCATCATAATGTTCAAGATGAGGTGTGCCGTAATTGCCTTCAAAAGGACCGTTTCGACCTTGGGACTATGAAACGTTATGCTACTTTAATATTTTGATGATGTACATTAGCTATAAAATTTATACTACTATAATATCTTACTTCATTTTTATTAATTTTTATTAATTAAAGTTACTAGAGTAGGGACCCCGTGACTCTGATTTTCTGGGTCCGCCACTGGTAGAATGTGCACGGTGCACATGTGGCATGAGAGACACTCACATAAATATTAGCAAATAAATTATTTCTCTTCTTATTTGAGTGACTTTATACAATTTTGATATGTTTTGCCCTGCAATGTCAACATTTAGACGGTCTCCTTGACATTGTGGAGAAAAACTTACCAAAACTGTATAGCATCATTCAAATAAGGAGAGAAAGAATTAATTTATTAATTTACTAATATTTATGTGGTTATCTCTCATGCCACATGTGCACCGTGCACATGTTACCATTGGAGATGCTCTAACTGATGTCTACTTGTTAAGTTAAATTTCATCTACATTATATACAGTTATACATATACCATTTTGATCGCTGAGCAATGAGCATTAAAAACAAATTTCATATAAACTCCGTTGGTGTATTGGGTTCAGGCATAAATATTCCCAGAAGGTCCAATTGGCACACGGGCCCAATTCCGACTCATCTAATTTAGGAGCTCGGTAGGGAAGCCAGTGTGGGGTCTGTCGGTCGGGATGATTCTGTTTTTTATTTCTTTTTGACTTACTTATAATTGTGTTTATATGAATGCTTTGAAATATAATCTAGCCAAAACCACATAGTATAGAGCACCGGATAGTACCATTTCCAATTCTAGCATCTCCACGGATGAAACTTCTCATAAACTAAAGGAAAAGACCAATAAATTGAATTAATAATAACAAACTGCAAAGGACCAACATGGATTACTTGAGCTCAACAACCCATCCCAACCAATATTGTCATCATCCAGAACTTGAATCATCAACGTCTTGGTTATCCCTCTCCTTTATCTTGTTGAGTATGTCTCCTTTTCAAGTGTTATCACCTATTCTTTAGTTGCTGGTATTTTTCTAAAGGATATTTTTATACCCGTTTCATTTCAAAGTTTTAGTTCATGGTTTTGCACTATTGTTTATAAAGATTTGCTGAAAGAACATAAATGAACAATATATTTGTTTATTCCACCCTGTACATATATAAAGCCTTAGTACAAGGCTTCTCCGATTTAATCTAATGAACTCAAGAGGAAATGAATAAATTATGAATTAACATCTACAAGTACTATAATCAATAGTAGACAACATGTTCCAATCATTTACTGAAAACAATACTAAAGCCATCATCCCAACACATTGTTAATAAAAGTCAAAGCAAACTGCTCTGCCAAAAAAAAAATTAGTTTGATTAAATTACTCTGCCAAAAAAATCAAACTGATCCGCTCTATAAAAAAAGACAATTTCAACTGCTCTGCTAAAAAAGTCAACCTAAGCTGCTCTGCCAAAATAAGTCAGGTTGAATTGTGTTACTACCCCTTAATATGTTACAGTATATTTTACATTGTATTCAGGGTGTGCGCATACAGGCTACAGTTGAAAATGCTTATGTGTCAGATTATAAGGACAAAATAAAGGAGCACAGTCTTTATGGAATGATGCATTTTGAAGTTAGGCCTAATAATGGTTAATACAAACCCGTTGGTCATGCTTTCAAATTATATTTTAAAGAGACCACAAAGATCAAGAAACGAGAGCTTTCACTAGAGCCACATTTTCCTACGGATTTGTATCGGCTAAAGAGTTTCACAAAAATTCTCAATATGCCAAGGAGGATTGGGGATGATTTATTTGGTAATTCTCTTATTCTATTTCTTATAACCTCACCACAATGCTGACATATTACTTTTTTATACTACGTATTGTACATACAATTGGGAAGCTCCACTTAGATAACATCAAATTATCTTTGCATCCTAATGTCTTAGTCGAAGTGGCAGAGTTCATCCTAGAAGATGTGGAGTGAGTTCATGTAAAACTCAACTATCATATATGAGTAATGAGTAATTATTAGAAATTATTAGCAGCTTGTCCATTAATTTTTTAAATATTGCATTTGACTTCTTAATGTTTTATTAGTAAAAAGCAGTTGTCATGTACACTTTGGGGTGAGTATGCACAAGCTTTGAAAGATTATCAAAAGAGTGCTTCTATCCAAGTGCATGTTATGCTTCTCTAGTTGTGTAGAGCAAAGACGGATGATGGTAACTTCTTTAAGACTTCACATGTAGCCTTTTTTTTACATGTAGTCATATTTGTGTATTTTGTGAAATTTGAAGAATATTAATATTTTAGGTGAACTTATTCTTCCAAACTCCACAAACTGTACCAAGGTTATAGTGGATGAGAACATCCCTGAAATTGAGGATTTCCGTAACAAGTATGATTATTTTCCCTTTCTCTCAACATAATTTTATACATTTAATTCTTAAATTATTAGCAATAACAATTATTGATATCCCTTAACCTCCATTAAGGTTGATAGTTGCGTCTCAGTCTTCGTCTTGAACAAACTCTACTAGACTTTATATAGATCCCGCGGTGGTAATCAATTTATGAATTGCTTGTTATTAAAAAGGATTTGCTATTTAGCTTTATTAAATTAATTTTGTTTTTCACGTATTTAGTGATTATTCAATGACTATACAAATACAACTCGCCATTATCAAATTAAAATTAGAAATAAGATCATTACATATTTAACCCATGTCACTTGCTTTATTTATTATTTAGAGATCCCGATGTTGGATTTTTGGTAAAATTACAAACGTTCTCAATCGATGAACATGGTCATACCAAGGATGTGTAAGAGAATCTTGCACTAAAAATGCCATAAACTACAGCGACAAGTTTATGGCTATAGTTTATGGCCACAAACTTGTCACTGTAGTTTGTGGCCTTTTTAGTGCAGAATTCTCTTACAAATCTTTGGTAAGACCATGTTCGTCGATTGAGAACATTTGTAATTTTATCAAAAATCCAACATCGGAATCTCTAAATAATAAGTAAAGCAAGGGGCATGAGTTAAATATGTAATGATCTTATTTCAAATTTTAATTTCATAATAGTGAGTTATATTTGTATAGTCAATGAATAATAAATAAATATGTTAAGGACAAAACTAATTTAACAAAACAACGTTATTGCTTTAATAGCAAGCAATTCATCAATTGATTTAACCACCGCGGGATCTATATAAAATCCAATAGAGTTGCTGAAGACGAAGACTAAGACGTAACTATCAACCTTAATGGAGGTTAAGGAATGACAATCAATGTTATTGCTTATAATTTAGGAATTAAATGTATTAAATTATGTTGAGAGAAAGGGAGAATAATCATACTTGTTACGAAAATCCTCGATTTCAGCGATGTTCTCGTCCACTATAACCTTGGTACAGTTTATGGAGTTTGAAAGAATAAGTTCACCTAAAATATCAATATATTATTCTTCAAATTTCACAAAATACACCAATATGGCTACATGTAAAAAAGGCTACATGCAAAGTCTTAAAGAAGGAACGACCATCCGTGTTTGCTCTACACAACTGGAGAAGCATAACATGCGGTTGGATAGAAACGCTCTTCTGATAATCTTTCAAAACTTGTGAATATTGAGAAGCAAATGCAATATTGAAAAAAATAATGGACAAGTTGCTCTAATAACTTCTAATAAGTACTCATATATGGTTGTTAAATTTAATATGGACTCACTCCACATCTTCTTGGATAAACTCTGCTACTCGGGATAAGCCGTTAGGATGCAAAGATAATCTGATGCTATCTAAATGGAGCTTCCCAATTGTATCTATAATATTAAAAAGTAATATTTCAGCTTTATGGTGAGGTTATAAGAAATAGAATAAGGCAATTACCAAATAAGTCATTCCCGATCCTCCTGGGCAAATTAAGAAATTTTGTGAAACTCTTTAGGCGATACAAATCCGTAGGAAAATGTGGCTCTAGTGAAAGCTCTCATTCCTCAATCTTTGTGGTCTCTTTAAAATATAATCTGAAAGCATGCCCAACACGCTTGTAATTACCATTATTAGGCCTAACTTCAAAGTGCATCTCTCCATAAAGACTGTGCTCCTTTATTTTGTCCTTACAATTTGACGCATAAGCATTTTTAACTGTAGCCTGTATGCGCACACCCTGAATGCAATAATGTAAAATACTCCGTATATCATATTAAGGGGTAGTAACACAATTCAGTTTGACTTATTTTGGCAGAGCAGTTCAGGTTGACTTTTTTAGCAAAGTAGTTGAAATTGTTTTTTTTTATAGAGCGGATCATTTTGATTTTTGTTGACAGAGTAATTCAATCAAACTAATCAATGTTTTCTGGCAGAGGAGTTTGATTTGACTTTTATTAACAATGTTTTGGGATGATTGCTTAAGTAATGTTTTAGTAAATGATTGGAACATGTTGTCCATTATTCATTATAGTACTTTAAGATGTTAATTCATAATTTATTCATTTCCTCTTGAATTCATTAGATTAAATCGGAGAAGGCTTGGAATGAGGCTTTATATATGTACAGGGCGGAATGAACATACGGAGTATAATATATTTTCATTTATGGTCTTTCAGTAAATGTTTATCAAAAAATAGTGCAAAACCATGAACTAAAACTTTAATGAAATGAAACGGATATTAAAATATCCTTTAGAAAATAGCAGCAACTAGAGAATAGGTGATAACACTTAAAAAGAAGATATTGAATACCAAACTCAAGAAGATAAAGGAGAGGGTAACCAAGATGTTGATGATTCAAGTTCTCTACTAAAATGCATAGCATTTGTGGATGATGACAATATTGTTTGGGACACGCATCGATGAATGCAGCTTTTACTCAACCTAAAGTACTATACAAATGGGACCATTCCAGAAACTTAAAGACATAATAGTACCTTTATTTTTTAGGGAAAAATAATAAAAATATCCCAAATTTTGTAGGAGTGTGAGGTAAACACTCCGAACTTGCATATATAATTTAAATACCCTAAACTATATATAAAAAATTATTTTTACACCATTGTCATGTATTATTTCTTGCAAAAATAGAAATTTATGGGGTTAATTGAACAATTTAAAATAGTAAATTAAAAGTGTTGCAATTATATAGATTAGGGGTAACATTATTTATTTTGCAATGGAAGTTTAGAATGTTAATTGTGTCTTCATGAAATTTAAAATAGTTTATATTATGCAATTAACATTATAAATTTACATTTTTGAAATAAATAATACTTGTCTATTTTTTAAATTTGGGGTATTTAAATTACATATGCAAGTTTGGGTGTTCATCTCACACCCCTTCAAAATTTGGGATATTTTAATTATTTTCCCCTATTTTTTATTGGAAACAATATTTTTAAAACTTGTCTTCATAGTACAATGCAATTATAAGGCTCACATAACACTATGAGAGTAGTTCCGGACTATAGTTATAAGACTCATAACGAGAAAAGGGAATAAAAAGTTCAAAAGAAACATTGTTAGTTATCCACCATGACAACTATACATTTGGCAACAGTTTGGGTAAATTTTTGAAAAATATAATTAAAGCAGAAATAAAAAAACAAGAAAAAAAAACATAATTTACTATATTCAAATACACACTACGGAAGAATGGTCCCATTTGTATTACGCATAAATACACTTAATTGAAGATAAGGATTCTTTTAAGAAGTTAAGAAATAGAATTCTGTGTCATGTATCAGTGTTTTGTTTTATGGATGCCAGAAGAATAGTTTTGTAACATGGGATATGGACCATACATTACTTCATGTATTCTTGATCTCTTGTTAGGAACATTTGTGATCCCATTCACCAAAGGACTCATATTCTCATATTCATTTGCAGGTTGAGTATCTGAATTGTCACACAACTTTGATCTCCCACCATGTATAATGGTTGGTTTAATTTCGTCAACTTCCTCATTTAATGTTTCTATTAATGAAAAATAATAAAGTATTAGAAGGAATTAGTAGATACTATTTCTATCTCAAATTGTTTTGCAAAGTGGACATTTTATTGTCAATCAATATATGTTAAAGTAAAAATTCATAATTCCTCTATTTATAGTTAATTCAATATTAATATTTAAAATTTACATATTCAAAAACTACGTTAAAATCTTTACAAAGTTGCAAAATCCAAATAAAATTTAATTAAGAATTATATTCTAATTAAGTGAATAAAATGAGTTTTTTTTATCCAAAAAGTCAATTTTGCAATTCAATTTGTGACGGATTCGACTGGGAAAAAATTGAACTGATCAATACAAACATTGTGTTTTAAAGCAGTCACCGTTGGTGCACTGTTTTGAGAAAATAATCATCTGATATCGAATGAGGTTAGAAACACTTTTGACACAACTTAGTTTAATATTGTCTATAATTTTGTACGCATATTTTAACTTTACCAATTGTTCCAACATCAAATATAAGTGCAACCATTTTCGATCATTTATGAACATTAATGACAAGGTAAATGTTTAGTGAAAAGTAAAAAATAATACGGAGTATATTTTAAAAAATAAAATAATACTACCTCCTTATTTTAATGTTCACTACAATAGGTATTATTGGCAGGTAAAATAATAGAGGTAATGAATGGTGTAGAAAAGGTAGGAGAGATTGAGGAAAAATATTAAATAAAAAATAAAAAGTAAAACAGGTATTGGTAATTGAGTATTTTTAAAGAAAAATTTTACCAAAAAAAAAGTGTTGCAAACATTAAAATACGAAGGAAATAGATAAGATCTTAGTTTTCAATTATTTTTATAATCTATTGTAAGTTTTTAGATACATTTTAATAAATGATGTTTTGAATTTGAGTGATTTCAGACGCTTATCAAACATTCAAACCTGACTTTAAACGATCAAACGTAGACAATAGTGAAATACAAATACTCCATACTATAAAAGAAGTCTAATGTTTGTTCGGTATTACCTCACATACATGAAATATACTCGTATGAGAGATTAAAAGAGTTGGGTTCTTCTGAAGAGTATTACCTAATGGTTGTGTTTATTTCAACAACAAAAATTGAACTTGGAATAATTGATACCTCATGGCCACTATTTGTTCGGCAGCACATCACTTATATGAAACGTTGGGTCTCTCTAATCAGGCAAACCGGTAGCACGTGAAGTGGAATTGTCCCCGCCGCCGCCGATTGATGTGTATATTGCAGCCGTAAAACATTGTAGAAAGTATGTAAATTACGGCGTAATATGCTTAACCCGAAGTATTTGTGTAGCCGATTATATTAGATTAGAAGTGTTTTAATGGTTCAATATATAGCTGCTGTCATTAGGAGTCTTCTTGAAAGATGCCATTTAATACGGAAACATTTAGTTTTAGGACTATATATCTGTGCGTACTATGTGCATCAACAAAGGGGAATAGAAATTCTATTTTTATAAATAGAGTCATCCTTATAAAATCACCCACGGAAGTCAGCTAGGTGTTTTGGAGAGGATTCAATATAAAGGAGTACTTGTAAAATGTTTATATAATGTAATAATATACTTCATCCATTCTTAAATAATTCTTAAATAATTATAACATGTTAAATTTTATTCTATTCACATGTTGTATTTTGATTACGCTTTGTTTTTTAATGTTAATAAATTATTTTAAATAAAATTTGATTAAATTTGTCTCGTTTTAATTTTAAAAAAAATGATTTTTAAATTTTTAAGAAGATTGTCATAGCGAGAACAATATTACAATTGGGGTGGAAAGAATTTTCTTCATTTACATTTTTACACTATTTTAAACATAAGATAGAAATTGAACCCCAATTTTAGGTTTGACGAGGCCAGTCAAGGCCTCGGCCAACCTTTTACTGGTCACACAATCACACTAACATCACTATTAGATACAACAACATCAATCAACAACAACATATCCAGCCATCCATGTCTTATCCCCAAAAAACTTTGGGATCGGCTAACATGAATCAATCTGTGATATCAGAATCAAAAGGTAAAAAAAGATATGAACAATAAAAAGATAAGGTCAGATGAAACGGATAAGATAAAAAATAACATAAAAACATAAGATAGACAAAAGATAAAAGAAATAAAGGTCGTAAGACAAATAAAAGATGAAAATAATGTAGGAACATAGAATGATAAATAAAATAAAATAAAATAAAAGATAAAAGAAAGAGAGAGAAAAGGAAGAAAAAAGATCAATCATCCACACGTATCAATCGCCGCTATTCGCTATTAGATGTTTGACAATAATCCATATTTGTGAATAATAATAATAATAATAATAATAATAATAATAATAATAATAATAATAATAATAATAATAATAATAATAATAATAATAATAATAATAATAATAATAATAATAATAATAATAATAATAATAATAATAATAATAATAATAATAATAATAATAATAATAATAATAATAATAATAATAATAATAATAATAATAATAATAATAATAATAATAATAATAATAATAATAATAATAATAATAATAATAATAATAATAATAATAATAATAATAATAATAATAATAATAATAATAATAATAATAATAATAATAATAATAATAATAATAATAATAATAATAATAATAATAATAATAATAATAATAATAATAATAATAATAATAATAATAATAATAATAATAATAATAATAATAATAATAATAATAATAATAATAATAATAATAATAATAATAATAATAATAATAATAATAATAATAATAATAATAATAATAATAATAATAATAATAATAATAATAATAATAATAATAATAATAATAATAATAATAATAATAATAATAATAATAATAATAATAATAATAATAATAATAATAATAATAATAATAATAATAATAATAATAATAATAATAATAATAATAATAATAATAATAATAATAATAATAATAATAATAATAATAATAATAATAATAATAATAATAATAATAATAATAATAATAATAATAATAATAATAATAATAATAATAATAATAATAATAATAATAATAATAATAATAATAATAATAATAATAATAATAATAATAATAATAATAATAATAATAATAATAATAATAATAATAATAATAATAATAATAATAATAATAATAATAATAATAATAATAATAATAATAATAATAATAATAATAATAATAATAATAATAATAATAATAATAATAATAATAATAATAATAATAATAATAATAATAATAATAATAATAATAATAATAATAATAATAATAATAATAATAATAATAATAATAATAATAATAATAATAATAATAATAATAATAATAATAATAATAATAATAATAATAATAATAATAATAATAATAATAATAATAATAATAATAATAATAATAATAATAATAATAATAATAATAATAATAATAATAATAATTGGTACTATTATTTTTCATTTTTTTCCTAACAATAACACTTACAAACTTAAGTGAATACCAAATGGTCATATATAATGTTCGATCATTAAGTATATTGATTCTAATATCATTTCAATATAGTCAATAGGAGACCCTAAAGTCAATAGGGAGTATATAATAATGTCCTTGCACGTGTTTTTACTTCATTCAAGATAGCTAATTGAACTAATTGGTATCAAACCGTTAACATAACCTGCTAACAACTAATAGCCAATTAACAAACAAAACCTTTATACAAAATTAAGTGCTTAGTGCGCAAAATTGTGTAAGATGCTTGTTGCCAAAACTACGTACTCCGTATTTTGCATCTGGTTTCATCACTTTAGGGTGAGGGCGGAAGGGACGTTAGTAAAGCAGAATATACGTAAATGTGTAATTCATATCTTAACTTTCCTGAAGCACAACTTATGATGACAATCGCATTTTACCTTTTCAACCACACCTAGATCCCTCTTAGCCTACATACTCCACAGGACATAATCAGATTAATACGCCGGAAAAAACAGTACATGAGAAATGACCATAAATATTATGCATATAATTTAAATGTCAGCTGGAAAATTTTGTAACAAAATCAACCACTAGTCTACAAACAACAACAAAGTGGTTTGTCTATAGCTATACCAAGCAACAATGGTAATAAGTCGCACATCTCAATCAAGTATAAATAATATTTGGCCTTTATGGAAAGGAAAAAAACAGAGCATAACTTGGGCAAGAGTTATCTACTTATCTTGCCTTGCGACTCTTACCACCCTTGGACTTCTTCATAGGAGGCGCTTTTCCTTTTGGTTTTCCCTTCCCTTTACCCTTACTACTCTTCTTGCCCGTCCCAGTCTTTCTTGCATCCTTTTTCATGCGACGATCGACGAGCACCTTACCTTTTCCGGGCCTAACTTGAACCCCCTTCTTTGCCACTACATACTCCCTTTCTGGTCTTGTTGGGGCAGCTGCCTTCTTATAGAGTTTGTCAATCATTTTCCTCTTTGAACTATCATTAATGTCAGCCTGGTCAGATATAGTGTTAGCCTTCTTGCGTACCTTCTCAAGTTTTCTATGTGCAGCCCTTTTCTTTCGGGCTTTCGCCTCAGCTACCTTCTTAGCGGGCCGGGCATCAATTTCTCTGAATTGGGCTTTCATTGCAGCAACTTCCTCTTTAGTGATGGGCTTAATAGGCTGGTAATGTTTCTGTTCATCATCAGCAAACCACTTGGGCAGACCATCATCGTGGAACATGTATTTGTTGTAGGCATCATCAAGCATATGCTCACGCTGTTTTTTGGAAAGCATCTTCTTTGCATACGCTAAAATTTCAGCTTTAGTGTCAATGTCATCTTCGTCTGATTCATCTGAGGATGAGCCGCTTGAATCTGTATGTGGGGCCGGGACTATCTCAAAGTCATCGATTACCTCACTGGACGGGATGGCGACTTGATGGCCTGGACTTTGGGTCTTTTTCCCGGGTGGCGCGTCTTTTTCCTTTTGGGATGATGGTTTTTTTGCACTTTTAACCGGTTCGTCTACTTGCATTTCATCTTCTTCACTGTCATACTTGTCCAGAATGTCCTGCTCGTCTGGTTCAGTGAAAACATCTTGAATGAACCACTTTTTTGCTATCTCCTCTTGAGTTGGTTCATCTTCAAGCGGGACCACTAGAGGATTAGATTCATCATCTCTCTGATCACTCTCTGTTTCTCGATCAGAATTAACCACAGGGTCCTCATTTCCCCCCTGAGGAACATCATAGAAAAAGCAATAAGCATTACATACAAATTTTAGTTATTTAAATTAGTCTAGTCTACCTTTTGTACAATCACTACATTGGGTACTTTTGGACTCAACAATTGGTCCTTGACTACACTTAGTTGTTGTTCTCTTCAGACCGAGCCAAAATGGTTCAGATAAGTCTGTAGAGATTTAGATCAGGCCAGATGTCTAAATCCTAGAAAATTAAATAGCCTTAGGCAAACATTCTGATCAGATCAGACAAAACCAAATCATAGAGCGTTCAAGCCAATCCAGAATCGTCGAGAGCAAATTCAGACCAGATCTTAAGATGTGTACTTTTGTAAGAGTCAGAAGACTACGTCCAAAGTACACATCTGAGGAACAGCACATCAAGTCCTAGATGGGGTCCAAACTTAGTGAATGGGTAAAAATACCATTCTTATTTTGAGACTAGTTACCGCAAAATTTCATGGTCAACGAAGTAATAAAGTACTAGTGAATCATTGACATGAACTATCCAATTCCCATTCCAAGGGCGTGGAAGAGAACATGTCTCTGGGATTATTTTGCAATGATAATTACACTTCACGCACAGAAACAGTACCTCTAAAAGTTCATCCTCGTCATCATATGCTTTTTTGGATCGCTTTCTTTGTTTGGTTTTCCCTTCCACTCTAGTAACATATCTCTCGTATGCCTCATCAAGCAGTTCTTCAACATGTTCATCATATCTACAAAGAGAGCAAATTGATTCAGAAATGGTAGAGCAGAGAAATAGAACATTCACCATGCTCATATCTTAGCAAGGTAGTTTAAGTACCGTTTACGCTCTTCTTCCGAGTCTAAATCGCTGGATGCATCTTCTTGGCCTTCCTTATCACTTTCACTATCTTCACTATTTCCATCACCAGGTTCATAATATTCTTCATTATCGACGGCTACTAGGGCTTTCTTTCCCTAAATATCATACAAAGCAAATTATACTAAGTACACATCTGCATGACATGAAACGAAAAATATTAAAAAGTTCAGCTAATAATATCTATCGTTTCTTTATGTGTGATGAACAAACTAAAAAAAGATACAAGTATCAAATTTCTTACAATTTATTTGTGGCGTGTATTGAACTAAAAAGATCTCACTAGTTAGCTAACTAAGAAAGGGAAAAGCAGTTTCCAGTGAATAAGAAATATAAGTGAATATGGTTCAGAAAGAAACCCTGATAGAAGATAGAGAAAACAGATCCTGATCTCCATATTCATCTGCTGTTGCATCAACTTGCATGCCTAGTGCCTTACGAGCTTTCTCCTGGAATTCAAACACAATAACACATATGAAATATCAACCGAATTGAATTTCACTTCCAATATTTAAAGCTTGAAGATTGTGTCATTAATTTCCAAGCCAACTCAATAGTAACCTCCTATATGAACTTGTAAAAATAAAAACTTGATGGATGATGACCAATAGTTGTGCAGTGAACTTCCTCAATATTTTAGGAGTATACACTTACAAAGCCATCACTTTCAACATCAAATAAAATGGTAATCAAATAAGTATATACATGAGCTTAACAAAAATCGGGAAAATAAGCTTCCACATGGTAGAAATACTATATGAACGTTTTGTATAGGAGTCTGAGTGTCTGACTATGCTTTTAAATCTTTGGAAAATACTGTTTTAATCAAAATGACTGTTCCGTAGTAATTTACCTCAATCAGGTGTCACTCAATACAAAATTCTAGTAATTTATATAAAGAATTCACATTCCGCCATTTCATGATAGAGTGGGTCAAGTGCTCAACTAAGCAGATGCGTCTGAATCATCAATATTAGAGTAAAACTAAAGTCTCATTGCAAGATGCCAGTTTGCTTGCTGGCATTAGTTTTAGATAATACTTTTCTCAGAAGGACATGGTGCTTTTCTTAAATGCATATGCCAACTACAAGGCAAAAAACGTGTATTTATAGTGTCAAGTTTTAGATATGAAATGCACTTTGTCTTAGTTGTCACCACTTGATATATGCCACATATTACATTCTTGAGTCAACTTAACCACGTGTAAGAATGGTCCTTTTACAAACAATTCTGATGACATACTACATCCTACATTTTAAGTACCAATTTCTTTTTGCGCACATATCAAAGAAACAAGTTGCATGAGTAGTTCAAATATGTCCAATAAGAAAATGGGTTAACTGGAAAAAGTAGGAAATTAGCGAAATTTAAGAAAGACAAAGATGTTAACAAAATTCATAAAATAAAATGTGACTACTAAAATGAAACAGAGGGTAAAAGAAGTTTCTATTTGTTAAATAGAACTTTGAATGCAATTCTTACATATGAACAAAATTGTGCTGCATCCGAACATATTACTGGTAAAAAAAACATGAATTCCAAATAATTTGAACCATGTCTGAGATGAAGGGAGGTACCAAGTACAAATAATTAAATACTATTACAAAGACCAAAACACAAACCTTAGCTAGTCGTTTTGCTTGAAGTCTTTTTTCCTTTTTCTTCTTCCTCTCAATCACATATGTCAGCTCCTCCATTTCATTAAGGATTCTTTCATCTTCATCTTCCTTGCTCTCAGGTTCAACAGGTGTGGGTGGGATAATACTTTTTTCAGATGGAGATAGTGCTTTTCTTAAATGCATACGCCATCTACAAGGAAAAAAAGGTGTATTTATAGTGTCAAGTTTTAGATGTGAAATGCACTACGTCTTAGGATACTTAAATATGTATACTTCGTATATAACATACTGGATCCTATATCATGTATCGATTGATGTTAGCTAACCCCAAAATCTTTTGGGATTAAGGCTTGAATGTTGTTGTTGTAGTATACAACATAGGAATCAAATTGTTATCAAGTTAATAAAGAGAAATAGACAATTCAGCATCATCCTAAGTTTTTTATCGTTGCTTACTTTAAAATATGCTTGAAGTCTTGCTTTCCTAAAATACGTAGATCGTCACATAGTGCTTTAACCTGTAGACCATTAAAAAATATTAATGTCAGTTGTGCTGGTCAGAAGACAATTAGGCATATTGAATGAAACTAAGGAAGAGTGACCTCTACACCATACACAGTCCATATAGTTCAAAAGTGTATACCTCCTCCGTTGTAAGAGCATTCTCTTTTATGGATAAACAAGCAGGATCATCAAAGGATATGGATGTAACTGATCCAAGGAGGTCAAGAGGAGCCTCAGACCAGATAAAATCTGCAGCAGAGCACACCTTCCTCAAAATTGAAACACCGTCTTCATAACTGCAACAAAATCCGCAGTTAGCAAGAAACACAAAGCACAAGAATCAGGAAAAAGAGCTATATTGCTATAAGAACACTGGATATCATGTTGACAAGTGTTGTGAGTGTTAAGAAGTTGATTGTGGCCCAATCATCAAAGGCATACACTATTTTTTCCCCGTGAACAACTAGCGTGATAAGAAGTGGCTTGTGGCTCAACATGTTATTCTCGCTTTCTTATGGGGCAATCCCAAAGAGATTTTTTCATCTCCTTTTAAGAAAAATAAATCTCAACCACGAAATCATGTGGCCTAAAAACCAGTGTAAAAGCAAAACGGAAGGACATTTCATAGAAAGGGAGTATATAGAAATAGGAAAGAGGATTCACCCATCTCGGTGCCTCTTTTGCTTAGTGGATCTGAGGACGTCAACCACCTGGTCCAAGGAAATACCTCAGTTAAAGTGTTCACAAGCACATGCCGACTTACAGCATCCATACATATACAGAGAGAAAAAGAGAAAAGCAGATACTATTTATGTACCTTTGGGGGGTCTTTGCCTCCATCAAAGAGGTGCTTTATATCAAGGAGGCGAGGATCAATCTTTGCAGGAGCCTTATACTTCAAACCAATAATGTAAATTTCTGCAGATGCAGAACGACTAGCCAAAGGTTTGTCAACTTCAACCTTCTCAAAAAGCTGCCAATGAATGTTATAAGTAAGTAACGATCCCATTAGGAAGGAATTAAAATGCACCAGAAAGGAACTAACCTGTCGCAAACAGTAAAGGACAGCATTGTAGTCTTGGGACCTGAAAATCTGAAGAAAACAAAATACTATATTTAGCTTTAGATGTTGCAAGGTTATATTCCTGCCAGTTTTCAAATCAAACTTTGGGTCATAAAGCCCTCAAAATCAGTGTTTGACAATATAAGATCACACAAAAAAGATGAATGGAACAAAATTTCTAACTTTTCTACAAGTTAGTCCATATCCTCTTCTGAAAACTAACTCATTAGATGTATTGCCGAATCAGTTAGTCCATAAATCACATTATTGGTTGAAGTGAGTATAGTGTAAAGAACAGAAACAAGTGAAATGAAAACAAAATAATATTAATAATGTATATAGAATAATCAGACTTACTATGCACACTACAAGTTCCGCTTTCTATCATCAATTTTTACTCCAACTGTCTCTACTAATTCAGGGATATTCTTGGTTTAAAAATTAAAAGTAAATGAGGTTTGTAGTTAGGTTATAAAGTTTGGAAACGTTAAAACAATTTCAACTTTTTTAATTCCATACCTTTGTGACAAAAGTCCCTTTTGGAGACAGGAATTCTGAGGCGAGCTTAACGGAATCGATGACCAAAGCATTTTGACTGGTAGCCTCCTTCGCCCAGGCGCCACCAACGTTGGGCGAACCGTCGTGAAGAACCAAATCAAAGGTTCTGCGTCCATTCTCAGCCATGAGCTTCTTAATGATTGATTTGCACTTAGGAGTAGTGATATCTTCCTGGACTGCGATGGCTCCCCGGATAGGTCTAATAGGATCTAGGTCGACGCCAATGACGAGACTGCCTACGGGAACTCGTTCTACCGCAACTTGCATCCATCCACCGGGGGCAGCGCAGAGGTCCAGCACGGATTGAGCCGATCGAAGGAAGTTGTACTTGGACTCGAGCTGGACGAGTTTCCATGCGGCTCGAGAACGGTAACCGTGTTCTTTGGCTAAGTGGTAATACTTGTCTAAACGATGCTTACCTTTCACTTTCCCCATGGCCTATCTTCGAGTCAGCTGCAATGGGACGGACGGACTGCTGCGGCGGCGGCGGCTGACCTGCAAGGCTGCAATCAGGCCGGGCGGGTGGTGAGCCTACAGGGTTTTATAGCTCAGCGCTTCGACGAATGAGGTTTGTGCTAGCCGCGAGGAAGTGATTGGCAATTAGGCGCACTCCTTATATGTGAACTGACATTTCTGCCCTTTTCTCTATAGATGCCGTGTCGCAACATCTTACTATCTTCAGTTCCAAACTTCTAATGCACAACTTTGACTGTAATTATATTTAATTATGTATTAGTAAACATTATAAAAAGTTGATATTTTGGAAATTCACATTGATAAGAGTTCAATAAAATTTTATACGTAATAATTTGATTATGTATATTAGTAGAAAATCATGGTCAAAGTAAGAGCTGTGAATAGTGTAAAAATCACAATGTTGTAAGAACTATGGAACGGAGGAAGTATTTCGGCTTATCAGCCTTATCAACAACTTTTTTCTCAAACCCGTAACTTTTGCTTTCGCGCGCTGAATTGTGTAATAAGCAGAAAAAGTAAGGTCGAAATTACTTTTCTGGCTGTATTGGCTAAAGTTACTACAGATAACCATTTTATCTACTTTTACATATAATTTTTTCTTTATTTTATTAATAAAATATATTTTAATTTTTTTTCTTAAATCACTAGAATGTCAATACAGCCACTTTAGCCACGACTTTATTAGAGAATTTCTTCACGATTTACAAAAGTTTTTGTCTGTGAAAAGACTGCACAAACAATCAATAGACAAGTATGAAAGCATATATGTTTGTAAATCTTGTACAAAAGGTTTTTTTATTGTAAAATTTGTATGGGCTTCTCTTACCAACCTTTTTCTTTCTAGAAATCAACTATTTGTGATGGACTCATCTTTCTTGCTTAACATAATTAGTAATAAAAATAGGAAAAATTGAAAATAATAATCTCAACTATTATCGGTCCATTAATAATAATCCTAACTATTGATTATTTTTGTATAATCTCAACTATATGGACTGTTCGCCAATAATGATCCATGACCAGATATTACCTCTTATAACAAGTGAATTTTAAGCATAAAAATCAAAAGTTGAGATTATTTATAAGGATTACTTATTAGTACGTATATCTCTTCTCACCCACTTTAGAAACTATTGAAATTTATTTATAGTCGGTCGCGTCAGACCATTATTGGCGGAAGGTCCCTAACCAGTGGCGGATCTAGGCATCGGAGCTCAGTGTATGCACATATATATATAACACTTGTAGTATATTACATGAATTAAAAAATGCTAAATAAAATATATAGATATAGTAAAAGAAAAGGTACCTTTTAACAATAATATTAAGGAAAAATTGATAAGAATAATTTCACCTTTCACTGTTCTTCTCATAATAATCTCACCTTTACATAATCCCAAAATAGTCCCACCTTTGCACTTAATCTTCTTTCATTGGACCATTTTTTTGAAAATCTTATATAAATAATCTCACCTTTGTAGGTCATCCAATAGGTCAGGGTCCAATGAAAGAAGATGAGGTGCAAAAGTGGGATTATTCTTGGATTACGTAAAAGTGGGATTATTATGAGAAGACCAGTGAAAGGTGAGATTATTATTGTCAATTTTTCCTAATATTAATTAGGCTTTAATAATTTAAGAAAAAATAAATGAATAAAACCTTGAGAAGTTGAGTGAATGTGAAAAATCACACGATTATTAAGACAAAAGAAATATACTACTTTAATTATCCACAGATAGTACATACTTCCTCCGTCCCATTTAAAGGTTCTCGTGTCAAAATGACACGATTATTAAGACAATAATTAAATATACTAATCCAAGTATACTTTGAGAAATAATTTTGATGAGTATATAATATAATGGGTTATTGATGATAATTGTGATTTTATATTAGAAAAAAAATTCTCTGTAGTATTTGGTGATTAAATTGTCATTTATGAGTGTTAATTATTTCCTAAAATAGAAAGTGAGAACCTTTAAGTGGGACGTTCAAAAAAGGAAAATAGAAACCGTTAAATGGGATGGAGTATTTAAACAAATAGATTGATTGTTTTTTGTCAATAGCTCAAAAAAGGAAAATAGAAACCGTTAAATGGGATGGAGTATTTAAACAAATAGATTGATTGTTTTTTGTCAATAGCAGTAATAATTTCGAACAATAAATTAATTATAACAATAATTACTAAATCTTTAATGTTAGAGAAACAAAAAAAACCTGATATAGAGCTAAGAGCATCTCCAATGCTATAATGTCCACGGTGCACATGTGGCATTAGAAATAGCCACATAAATAGTAGTAAATAAATTATCTCTTTCTTTATTTGAATAATTTTATAAAATTTTGGTAAGTTTTTCTCTGCAATGTCAAGGAGACCGTCTAGATGTAGACATTGTGGTTAACATTGTTAAGAAAAACATACCAAAATTGTATAAAAGCATTCAAATAAGGAGATAAATAATTTATTTAATAATATTTATGTGGCTATCTCTCATGCCACATGTGCACCGTGCACATTGTAGCATTGGAGATGCTCTAAGGTCTAAGCCTCCAACGGTGTCACAAGCCATTCGCCAGAAGACACGTATTGTTTTGGAAGAAGAAAGGGAATAGGGTCTAGAGATTTTGAAATGGGTGTAAATGGCATCTGTTTTGATTGTAAAATTATTAATTACTCATGTACTACGTATCACTTATGGTCTAGTCAACTGAACAAACGAAAAATAAAAGGCCCACTCGCACGGCCCAAATGCTAAACCTGCCAACTGAGAAGTTTTAGAAAAAAATCGGTGCAGCCTTGGAGGGATTCGAACCAATGACCTGAAGCCTAATGAAGGCATCAAATTTTTAAACTACTACGAGATAAGGTGGTGGAACAACTTGAGGTGAAGCCAGTGCTTACACTGGTTATACTGTAGATCCGCCCCTGTCCCTAACGTTGGGATTATTCTGAAATAATCGATAGTTGGAATTATTATGAGCGGACCGCCAATAGCTGGGATTATTACAATCAATTTTTCCTTAAAAATATAACTGCTACAAAACAATTATTACTATAAATATTTAGAAACATTAAAACATTTTTACAATCACCTGATTGAACGATACAATGATAAATAAATTAAGAGATTATATAAGAAACAGTATTGGTGTAAACAATCACCTAAAATTTACAAAATTTTAGTGCTCAAAGATTTAATATGGGCTCATTAAGTAGTTTTACTTTTCAGAAGTTATCTTTTTGTAGCCCGTATTTCTCATATTATCTTTTATATTCTAAATTTTATTTTTATTATTTTCAAAATGCACTAGTAAGGTAAGAATTTTTCTGAAGTAGGATTAAAAATAGGAGCGTAATGTTTTTATTTCCAAAATTACTACCATGTTTGAAAAGTATTAAAATATTTTTATGACAGCATCATACTTTTATTTAGGGAAAAACACATAAATTTCTACGATAGTATTTCTTATGAATTGTCCCTAATAAGTTTTATAATTTATCTTGACCGTTTAAGATCAACAAAAACAGGAAGGACGTAAATATAAGTAAATTATAACACAAATGCTTAAAATTATTTAACAAGAAGGTAGAAAGCCTGAGCTTTAAAAAATATTAGGAAACAAAACAGTAAATAAGAATTATTCAAAAAAAAACAAAGATGATGCCTTAAGACAAATATGACGTGTGGAGCCCACTGCTAATTGTAAAGGTGTTAATTGAAAACTTAAAATAAAGACTGTGTTGTATAAATTTGTATTTTAAAGGTTTTGTTGAGTAAAAGCAACCCCTAAATTTACTGGGGTTGTATGAGTGAGACGAATGTGCTGTAATGAACAAAATAGTTGTATAATCTAGTCTAGTTTTATAAAAGTTTGTTTGATCTTTATTTAACACCCAAAAAAAAAAAATATATTAGCTTTGTAGTGTAGACAATCACTTTTCTGACCTTTAGTCTTCGCATGTATAGAATTAGTCATGGACCCGGTTCGGGCCGCCCGGCCCGGGACCGGCCCGGCCCGCCACTGTGCGGGCCCGGAACCGGCCCGGTTCTCGGGTCCGGGTCCGGGTCGGGCCTAGGCCCGGTGGGGGGGCGGGTCCAGGCTCGGGCCTTGTATTTGGCGAACCGGCCCGGCCGGGTCAGGCCCGGGCCCGAGCCGAATTGATTTTTTTTTTATTTTTATTTTTTCATTTTTTGGGGTTAGCCGGGTTGGGCTTGATGGTTAGGAGGGGTTTGGGGGGGTGGGGGTGAGGGGGGGGGGGGTTAGGAAAGCAAAAAAAAATGACCGAACCGGAGGCCCGGCCCGGACCTGGTGGCTACCCGGGCCGGTCCCGGGCCTTCCTTCCCAAAAAAAAAAGCCCGGCCGGGCCCGGCCCGGGTCCATGACTATATAGAATATTTTAGTTCATCTCAACCAAAACGGACTGCACTCACTTTTTCAAATTTACATGTAAGGATCTTTTCCGTCTCCGGCTCAGGTCTTTCAACACACACTACTCACATACACCACTCTAGGGGAAGCTATAGCACACCTATACTCTTTACTCTCTTCTTCTAACCACAAAGGAACTCACAAAGAGGAAGAAGGAAGACACTGCTCTCAGTTTATTTCTCACGCAGGCTTAATTCACAAAGGGAAGGGAGTGTTGACTTTATAATAGGCTGCCAACCTATTGAGAAGTCACGGGCAAGAAAACAGGACACTCACGGGTGAGAAATAGGACATTCACGGGTAAGCCAAGCCAAATGGGAGTGCAGCGGACAGCAAGCAATGGGGCATACCAGATAAGTCAAACAGGTATATAATTGATCAGATAATATACCATGTAAAAGGTATCAAAGAGGGAGTAAATAAATGGGGTGCAAGCCTCAGCTAATAAAGTGGAAGGGAGGCCTTGGTAGGACCAATACCTCCAACATTCTCCACCTTATTGGTCCTAGGTGGTGTAGAGTAACAAAACAAAGTTGTGACAAGACTCATCATCGCTGGGTCACCCGGAATATCAAAAGACACAACGGGCAAACACTTTATTACGCAACCCACAGTTATCCACAGTCAAAGTTTAACACGCGTTTACAGGACAAGTGCTTCTCAGCAGAAAGACACTTGGTACCCATATCCGCGGGGT